AGTCCTTTGTAGGTTCTCCATCGGCAGGAGACAATAACAGAGGCCAACCAGAGAATATTGAGAAGCGAAGCAGCTAGTAAGCCTGATCTTTATTGAACTGGTGCAACAGGGTGCTCCCCTCACACGCAGGAGAAAGCACCCAGAACCTAGGTCTGCCTGGCCTTATATAGACATTTTAAATTGCCTTCCCTGGAGCTCAAGACCTCCCCTCCATACATCATACTTACATCACAGAAAAGGCGGTCTACAACAGAAATTTGAATGTTGCTGTTTTTCCTGTCTGCCAGGTTATCTGATAATGCCTTATCTGATTGCCTTTCCTGGTAGTCTGGCCATTCCTTTGAGATGTTGATTACCCAATTCCTGAGACAATGGGAAGGTTCCCTCACCCCCTCCCTCCTTTCAGAGAAAACATTTGGTCAGTTGGGGAGTCAAAATGGTTTCAGGACGGTCTTCCTGTGCTGCTCCAGACATGTGGTCCACATATCTATGTACGTCCTTGGTTGGTACATTTATGAACATTTATTATATATATAAAATACCTTAATTTTTTATTACATGCCTCTGGGAAACCCTCAAGCAGAACCTGACTACAAGGGCCCTCTCGCTCCCTGTGCTTTCCAGCAACTGGTATTCAGAGGCATTGCTGCCTCAAATTGTGGGGGAAGATCATAGCCACGGGATGTCCTTATTTTCATCGGAGAAATGTTGGCGGGTATGCCATCCCGGCTAGTTGCCATTGCTAGCCCTCTCCTCCATGAATTTGTCCAACGTTTGTTATCAAAATTTGTTATCTACATCCATCATGTCACCTCTTACTTGCCTTTGGGACTCTTTCGAGGCCAAGCCAAGCTCTTCGCCAGGCCAAGAGAGGGCTGAATGAGGCTAAGTTGCAAGGGAATAAGGAATGCTCCTGGAAAGGGGGGCAGCGCTAGGACTTGGGACCTCTCCTTTCAAGCTCCCATATTCATCTCTAATATGGGAGTTTGGTGAAAGCAACACATGAAAGTCCTGCTGTCTCCTTGAACAATTTTGGGGGTTGCTCATAAATTCTGGGGAGGCGGGTGGTGCTGTTGTGTAAACCACTGAGCCGTGGGCTTGCCGACCAGAAGGTCGGCGGTTCAAATCCCCGCGATGGGGTGAGCTCCTGTTGTTCAGTCCCAGCTCCTGCCAACCTAGAAGTTCGAAAGCACGTCAAAGTGCAAGTAGATAAATAGGTATCGCTCCAGCGGGAAGCTAAACAGCGTTTCCGTGTGCTGCTCTGGTTTCACCAGAAGCGGCTTAGTCATGCTGGCCACATGATCTGGAAAAACTGTCTGCAGGCAAACGTCAGCTCCCTCGGCCTGTAAAGCGAGATGAGCGTCACAACCCCAGAGTCGTTCGCAACTGGACTTAACTGTCAGGGGTCCTTTACTTTTACCTTTAATAAATTCTGGGGGTCTGGCTGAAAGGACACAGCACCCAAGCACCCCCACTCACCAAAGGAGCAACTCTTCCCCATCACTGCAAGGTGTCATGTGAAATTGCTGCCATCCATGGTTGGAGGCAGGAATTCTTCTGAATACCAGTTGCTGGAAATGGCAGGAGGGGAGGGTGGTCTTGTGCCCAGGTCCGGCTTAAGGACTTCCCAGCCCAGTCTTCTGGCTGGCCACGGTAAGAACAGGAAGCTGGCCTGGCCTGACCCAGCAGGTGGTTCTTACATCCTTAAGAAAAGCAACTTTCCAAATGCCACCCACCCAAATTTGAGCAGACCCTGCAGGCCTGCCCCAGTGGTCCCAACCCAAGGGAAGCGAGTCCAGCAGGGGATGCCGCACACCAGTGGTGACAGTGAGGAGGGGATGCACTACAGACATTAGGATTAGCTCAAGCGTGCAGGAAAATTGCCAGGGGCTGTAAGCTTAAAGTCCCATTTTCTGGGAAGAGAATGGCTCAGGGGTAGAGCATCTATCTGCCCTGCATGCGGAAGGCTGCAGTTTCAATCGCTGGCATCTCCATTCTCAGAAGACCTTTTAAGGCATCGTACATTCTTGGTCTTCATCCTGAGCTTACAGATAGGCTGCATTTTAAATGGAAGGCTTGCGTTTTGCGCTCATTATAGCTTGCTCTTGCTAACAACCGTATTTGCAGTGCAGAGATTAACCGGGCCTTGTTGTGTGGATAGCAAAGTTAATCATTGTGAGGGACGAAGAGAGGAGAGCGGGCAAAGAGCAGCTTGAGGCCAGCGCCTGGATTACCTGAAATGTCAGGGTTGCGTTTAACTAGGAAAAGCTTGATGGTCCTCTTATCCTTTCAGAAATTGCAGGGGATAAACATTGCAATGCAGATAGCAAAAGAAGTCTCCAGTGAGAATGAGGCAGATTAGTCAAGAGGTTAACATTTAAATGAATAATCCTTGAGATAGTGGATAGGTGTCCTTTTTTTCAGGGCTAGGAGCTAGTACAAAAAGAGCCTGCTGGATCAGGCCAATGGCCATGACCGGATGCCTGTGGGAAGCCTGCAAGCAGGATCTGTGCACAAGAACCCTCTCCCCTCCTGTGATTCAGGAGCATTGCTGCCTCCTACTGTAGAGGCTGAGCATAGCCATTGTGGTGAGTAGGCATCAATAGCCCTCTCTCCCATGAATTTGTCTAATCCTCCTTTAAAGCCATCTAAGTTGGTGACCATCACTGCTTCCTGTGGCAGTGAGTTCCATAGTATAACTATGTGCTTTTCACCTCTCAAAGAGTTTCTGAAATGAGGAGGGGAGGAAGGAAGGTGGTCCCTTATTGAAATCTACTAAACTAATTTCAGATTTCAGCCAAATCCCACCCTTCAAACAACAACAAGAACAACAACAGCATTACACAAATTCAATAGCTTGCAGGAGTGTTGTTAGGAAAGTGGTGCAGGGTCCCTGGAGGTGGAAAATAGATCTGACCCACATGTGTGTAATTAACATAAGAAAATGTGGGTGCCTGGATTCAAAAGGCAGGGCTCTGCACACTCTAGTGAGAGAGCCTCCAGCAGAGTAAAAATCACTTTCAGAGTGGAAAATAGGTTTGCATATCCCACTTAGTCGGCTTTAAAGCTCTTGTCTCCCTCCCTTTACCCCTCTCGTAATGACCAGACCACACACTGTTAAGTAAGCTTTAAATGCTTAACTTACTAAATCCAAAGGTCTGGCTCATGAGAACACAGGTAGATTGCTCTTGTTTTGGTGCTAAAACATGGACAGATTACAACGGGTCAAGATAATGTTTGAAGAACCAAGAATGTGATGATGGCATTGGAGGATTTTAAACAAATGTTGGACAGTTATCTGCCAAGGATTCTTTAGCTGCAATTCATTGCATTGTAGAGGAGATTGGACTGGATGAGGCTTGGGGTTTCTTCCAACTCAACTACGGTTCTCGGATCTTAAAGACTGACAAATGTATTGTGCCTTGTGGTCTCATGTGCCAGCAGCCACTCCAGAGTGTTTTTTGGGGGTGGGGCAAGATCTTCCTTAACCAGCCCCTCCTAAGCTGCCCCGAAGCTCCTCCTACTTAGGAGGCACAAGCCAGAAAGGTTCAGGTGCCATCAAAGCCAGTCAAGATGGATGAAGGCATACAATATCATCACATGGCCCCATTGTCCAAATAGCATTCAAATCGAAATTATCTGATCGTAATTCGAGGGATCTATTTATGAAACATGCCGTGGGAGATGTGTGTGTAAGTGTAATCTGTGGAAACAGAGGCTCCATGGTAGCAGGATGCCCCCTAGACAATGAACATGGGAAAAGCGCGGTCTGCATTGTCACAGTGGATTAATAAGTGACTTATATGTACGTTGAACCATTCATCAAACCCGCCGGCCAGCCATTGTATTGACTCCAAAGCAAACAGACGGTTTACTCAACAGAACACCGTTACTCCTGTTAAGAGGGATAATGACATTTTAAGCACATTGTGTCCAGCCTTGGGCACTTTACCTCTTGACTACAGCTACTGTGCAAAGGAGCCTTTGGATTTTGCTGATATGGCTGGAAAAGACTCCCTCCCCCCTCCTGCAGCGCTCTTTGGTTTGTTTGTTTGTTTGTTTGTCTGCATAATATTCCTTTTTCTTTTTTTTTCAATGGGAAAAAAATGGGAAACTGGTTGAAACTGAAATTGACAGATGCCAAGAACAGAAAAACAAACAAATTCAGGCACTGATTCTTAATGAGCTACATAATATATCCTATGAATCTTTTTAAGGCTGTGGTAACGGATGAAGACCCTCAGGGAACAACGGTGTAAATACTCATTCCCCAGCCCTTAAATGTCACCAGAATTCATTATAATTCCAGATTTGAGATCACTTTCACTCATTTTTAAGGAACATTTAAATCTTGGAATTCATCCCCCTGTGCCTGCAGTTTATCCCAAGATTTGGGGATCGGGTGTCTTTGAACCCTTTTTGTCCTCGGGGCTATTATGGGAGTGATGGATGGGGGAGAAACCCAAGCCCTCCTGGATCAAGAGGGCAGCCTGTTTGCTCTCTGTCAGCAGCATGTTAAAAGCCACGGGCCCCCCGGAAGGCCCGTCTTGCCGATACGATGTTAAGCCAACATCCTGTCCACATATAGAATTACAGGGCACTTTATATCGGAGCAACAGAGTTCACCCTGTGTTCCCCGAGCTCAGTTTCCCAGCCGCCCATCTCTTTTTCAAAGGCCCAGAGATAAATGCAGGATGCAACAGGGACTGGGAGTATTCACGCAAAAGAGGACGACACTTAAGAAATTTGTTATAGAAATACCTGCAAGATTACCTCGGAGTTTCATATTAATTTTCCAGGAGTTGCCAATACATAAATATTTGCATTTTATCATTAACATATTGTTATGAATATTGTCTTTAGAAGCACCACATTCTGAAAAATCCCTCTTGTTGTTTTTTTTTAAAAAACTGTTCTCCATCAATTAATGGGAAAAGAAATGATCAAAAGGGAAAGAACATTTCAATGAAATTCTCATCGCTGGGTTGCCTCATGCTTACCTTACTTTTGAGGTGGCCAAGGAAGGAGTTGTGAGGATGAGTGAGACAAAAGTTCAACGAAGTCTGCTTTTAAATGAGAGGTGATCTAATCTGCCTAATTATGCAAATCAAAACACCTTCCTTTGAAAGTCACAATTCTTTGAATTTTGCAACGCAGTTCTTCAGCCAAACAACGCGGAGGAAAATGCATCTAACAGAATAAAATGCATATACATATTAGTGAAAATATCAATATGCACTATATCAGGAGAAATTGTTTTGCAACAATGCACGCAGTAAAGAAAATTGCATACAAATCAGGGGAAATTCCTGCTGAAATGATGAATAACTTCCATGAGAACTTATTTAAAAAATAAACAAATCACAAGCTGACGTGTAGAACCTAAGACTAGAAACAGGAGAAGTAGAAAACAGAGAGAAATCAAAATTGACATATCCCAACTTTTCTTCCAAGTTGTTTTTTCAAGGCAGGGAAGATGGGATGAAGGGAGAGGCCGGTGGGGTGGGGTGGACTCGTTGACCTTCCAACTCTACAATTATATTATTCTAAACAGCACCTGGGACTTCTCCCCACACTGCCCTCCCTAGGGCACATCCTCCATGTTGTGGTGGAGCCCTGAATAGCCAGCAAGTCAGGCAAAATTGGCTCCTCCAGAGTCATGATCAAGGGGGTGGAATAACTCCCCTATGACTAAAGGTTTCAGCAATTGGGTCTTTTCAGTTTAGAGAAAAGGTGAGAAGAAGATAGCATGATAGAAGTTTTAAAAATTATGCATGGCATGGGGAAAGCAGATGGAGAAAAGTTTTCATCTCTCATATCACCAGGATTTGTGGGCATCTCATGAAGATGACCTTTGGAAGATTCAATACAGATTTTTAAAAAACTTCTTCACACAGTGCAAAACTGAACTATGGAACTCGTTGCCCCAGGAAGCAGTGCTGGCCACCAATCTGGATGGCTTCAAAGGAGGATGAGACAAATTCATGGAGGAGAGGGCTATTGGCTATGCTATCTTCTGATTCCACTATTGCTCATTTTCCACAGGCATCTCGGTGGGAACAGGATGCTGGACTAGGTGGGCCATTGGCCTGATCCAGCAGGCTATGCTTATGTTATTATGATGGGGAAGCACCAGGCATAGGGCTTGATATGTACCACTTTCCAAATGTCCAATAATACAGAGGTAGTCTCCACCGTGATAGCAGGGCCAGGGTGGGAGAGTGCTAGAGCTCTGTCAGTTAAAGCTTCATTCTCTGCTCAAATGCATAAACTCAAGGAATTCTGCTATAAATCTGCTTGAAGATAATGTATTCATGAGACGTGTGTTTGTGTGTGTGCATGAGAGAGAGAGGAGCTCTGAGTAGCTCTTGCCATCCCTAACCCATACAGAACAGTCCCCAACACCCAGCTGGCTGGCTGTGGACAGTGATTTCCTGATGACAGACCCTTGTCAGAGAGAGACCGGCCTTTGATCACTTTCCAAAATGGCCGTCACAGCCTCAGAAGAAGGCCTGACTGTGGCCTTTCCCAGCCCGGGTCCTTGCTAATCCCCTCCATTAGTTCCTCCAATCTCCCTCGTCCTGGGTTACCCATTAGCTGCTTGTATTTCAGAGTGCTCAAGCAGGCCGGCCATGGCTCCCGGCACCTGCTGCCTAAAGAGTATTTGCAACCAATCCCTCAGGCCTCTCTTTGGTGCCATTAGCAGCGGCTTTCATGACAGCTGTGGGGAACAGGTGCTTGGCTATTATATTTAGCTGCCAAACCCAATTATGTCTGTGAAGAGAGAGGCAGCACCCTGAACACCAAAGAGGCGGGGAACAAAGACTCCCACTGCCCTGCAGAGAATCCTGGAAACTGTAGTTTAAGGGTGCTGGGAATTGTAGCTCTGCGAGGGGTAAACTACACTGTTGCTCAGTTCATACATATGGCTGTTGATCAGCTGTGTTTTGAGCGCCAGGCAGCATATTCTCACCTCTGCTTCTGAGATAATGTTGACATATGCTTTCCGAGTGGCAAGGGGCCTGAGCAAAGAAGGCCCCGCCTGTCCGCAGACATGTACATGTTGTGACTCAATCCTCGCTGCTACTTAGCTGGAAGGGGCTCAAAGGGTCATCTACTTCGCCCCCTACAATACTTGGGGGGAGAGTGCCAGCGAGCAAGCCAACAGCGAGGGGGTGAAAAGATGATCTTCAATGAGGTCTAAGACAAGGGACTTCCTGCATTGCAGTGGGTCAGGCTAGATGACCCCTCAGATCTCTCCCAACCCTACCTTTTTACAAGTCCATGATTTCCTTTTTCCCTTCCCATCCTGCCCTATGCCGCAGTTTTCAGCAAGTGAATGCCCATCTTCTAGCATTTCCTAACCAGCCATTCCAATACAGTGGTACCTCGGGTTACATACGCTTCAGGTTACATACGATTCAGGTTACACACTCCGCTAACCCAGAAATAGTGCTTCAGGTTAAGAACTTTGCTTCAAGATAAGAACAGAAATCGGGCTCCGGTGGCGCAGCGGCAGCAGGAGGCCCCATTAGCTAAAGTGGTGCTTCAGGTTAAGAACAGTTTCAGGTTAAGAACGGACATCCGGAACGAATTAAGTACTTAACCTGAGGTACCACTTTATCCATCTAGGGTTCTTTCTGCTGTTGGTATATTCACCCCACTCCCACTCTGTGCCTGACAGGCCAATTCTCTCACACATCATGCCCAAAGCCCCAGGGGAAAGCTAGGTTATTTTTTTCTTTTCTTGGTGGTGCTACTCACAACAGAAGCCGTCAATTGCTCATGCCCAGATCTTCTCCCGGCTTAATCTTTTAAGTGTTTGGGTTCTGCAAAGGAGTCGGAGAATTCAGCACTTAACACCTTAAGAGGAAAAAGAACTGCAGGATGGCTTTCCGCCCCCTTGGAAAGTCTATTTAAGCACTTCTGGTTTAGCATCTGTGTCGGTGTTGACACCCACAGCTGAAAGATGAGATTGAGGCTGGGAAATACATGGAAACAAGCTGGGGGGGGGTCTTATTATGGGCTACCAAGCCAGACATCTTAAAAGCTACTCTCTAAGAAAACATTTGTCCGCCTGGCATCTTACAGATGTTTTGGACTTCATTTCCCATCAGCCCCCTTCTACTGACATCATCGTCATAATCATTTTTAGCATTTATATCCCACCTTCTCCAAGGAGCTCATGGTGGCCTCCACAGTTCAACTCTCCTCATTTAATCCCCACAACAACCCTGTGAAGTGGGTCAGGCTGAGAGGCCCAAGCTCACCCAGAGAGCTTCAAGGCCCAGTGGGAAGATTTGAACCCTGGTCTCCAACACTCTAGACACACTGCTTCTCTTTTTTCAAGACCTTCCTGATGCAGCACAGCTTCGTGAGGGAGTCGATGAAACAGTCAGCCCAATTTGGCTCAGGGTGAGACACCAGCTCGCCCACAGAACTCTATAGAAGGCGCAAGGTTTTATTTATTATTATATTTATATCCCACCTTTTCTCCAAGGCAGCGTGTACACACTTCACCCATTTATCTGCACAACAACTTTGTGAGGTAAGTTAAGCACAGAATCACAGAACCGTAGAGTTGTAAGGGGCCTTGAGGGTCCATCTAGTCCAGGGGTCTGCAACCCACGGCTCCGGAGCCGCATGTGGCTCTTTTACACCGGGGCAGATAGTAGAGAGGGAAGGAGGCGCATTGTGCACCCCAACACTCCCCACTGTGGCGGGCGCTGTTCTGGCTGTGACGTCGCATGGGGGCGGTGCGTGCGTTAGTCACGCACCGTCCCGATGTCACCTTCCCGCCTGCCCGCCCGCTACATTGTAAGGGGCATGTATGCTGGTCACTGCATTGAAAGGGGGCATGTATGCTGGTCACTGTTGTGAAGGGGAGTGAAGAACACACACACACACACACAAAAAAGGTAACTTGTTAATTTAACGTTTATTTCTATGAGGAGGAGTAATTCTGAGGGGTCAAACAAAGAAATAATAAAAAAGTGACAAAAAAGTTATTTTTATAATGACGAGTTTTGCGGCTCCCAGTTTTTTTCCCCTTCGGAAACGGGTCCAAGTGCCTCTTTTTGTCTTAAAGGTTGCAGACCCCTGATCTAGTCCAACCCCCTGCAATGCAGGAATGTTTCACCCAATGTGTGGCTCGAACTCACGACACCCAGGATTAAAAGTCTCATACTCTACTGACTGGGCTAGAGATAGCATGAAGCCCAGGGTGGGCTTTGTGGCTGTGTGGGGAATTTGAACCCAGGTCTCCCAGGCCCACCACATAGGTTCTCCTGCAGAGGCTGGAGGGTGCTGTATGAAGTCTAAAATAGGCATACAGTGGTACCTCAGGTTAAGTATTTAATTTGTTCCGGAGGTCCGTACTTAACCTGAAACTGTTCTTAACCTGAAGCACCACTTTAGCTAATGGGGCCTCCTGCTGCTGCCGTGCCGCCGGAGCACGATTTCTGTTCTCATCCTGAAGCAAAGTTCTTAACCTGAGGTAATATTTCTGGGTTAGCGGAGGTTGTAACCTGAAGCGTATGTAACCTGAAGTGTATGTAAGGCGAGGTACCACTGTATATAGGAAGCTGCTGAGTCCTCCGGAGTCAGGCCTATCTAGCTCAGTATTGCCTGCACAGACTGGCAGAGGCTCTCCAGGGTTTCAGGCGGGGGTTCTCTGCCAACCCCACCTAGAAATGGCATCAGGGATTGAACCTTCTGCATACCAAGCAGATGCTCTCCCACCAAACTGCAGCCCTTCCCCATGCTTGGTACTCAAGGACAGGGTTGTGTTGCCGATGATTTTTGTCATATTGGGAGGGAGGCTTAGGAAAGGAAAAAGAATTCCTTTTGCTTTGGTTTTGTCACTGTCTGAAATGGTTCAAATATTTCTGGGGCACATATTCCTGCCTTTGGGAAGAGTATTTATATAAGAATGCATATTTATGAGACTGTCATAGATCAAGAATCCTTTTTTTTTTTTTAAGGGAGATGCAATTATCTTCTAAAAGTTTAGCTTTATTTTCATGCTAATGAACACGTCGGGTTTTCTTCTTTTTCTTTTTTTCCCCAAGACAGCTAATTGGCTTTGTGCTTTATCCGCCAGCCTTGGCTGCCTCATTAAGGGCGCCTCAATTTGCACGTAAGCAAATTCAAAAGGAAGCTTCTTTGCTTCAGGTGGATGTGTGTGTGCTCACTTCCAAGGGATGGACACACACACACACACACACACACACACACCAGTAAAAATATAATGCTTCCCAAGCACTTCCCACCCCTCTGAAAAGCAAATTATTTTTGAAGGAGCTCACAGGAACCTCTCACTGCCAACCAGAAGATGTAAGTGAAGCAGACTCATTAACACACACTAGAAACCCAACCAGAGGCCATAGGAGCGCCAGTGGTGCTGTAGTGGTTAGATTGGTTAGTATGAAATGGGGGAGAGGAGGACCATTAGAGGTGGTGTCACAAGACCTGGGCCCTCTGCAGTTTCAGAACCATCTTCAAAAGCAGCCCTACATATAACGCCTAGAGCCCAGGCCCAAGAGTTAATCTGCCAAGACTGAATTCTGCCTAGACTGTGTGAGTCAGCTCTCTGAAATCTGCCCATCATTCACGCTGCAGCCTCCTGGCAGAATTGATGAGAGCCAGTGTGGCGTAGTGGTTAGAGAGTCGAACGGGGACCTCGGAGACCAGGGTTCAAATCCCCACTTGGCCCTGAAGCTCATTGGGTGGCCCTTGGGCCAATCACTGCCTCTCAGCCTAACCCACCTCGCTGGGTTGCTGTGGGGATTGAATGAGGAGGGGAAGAACCAAAGGTGGGATAGAAACGTGAAGAAGAAGAAGAAGAAGAAGAAGAAGAAGAAGAAGAAGAAGAAGAAGAAGAAGAAAGTGTCTTCATTGCCTTAGAGGATCAAGGTCACATGGAGATATTCCACTTAGCTTTCATCTCCCAGGGTCTCTGCCTGTATAGAATTTTTCAAAAAGAGACAGGCTTGCTTTGCCATAAACTAGGTTTGCCATATTTCAAAAAGTAAAATTCCTGGACTTTTTTTAAAGAAGCCCCCAAAATTGTTGCGCTTCCTTGGGGAAACCTAACCCAAAAATAGTGATTTAAAGTTTTTTGAGCTGTTTCCGCTGCTTTTTCCATCACGTTGCCATACATTCAGGTTTTCCCTGACATTTTGCCGATTCAGCAAAATTCCTGACGCCATTTTTTACACCCGAAACCCAGGTCACGTCAGGAAAAGCCTACATGAACATAGTTTCCTACAGACAAGAAAAACAAGTGGGTTCTCACTGGCTCTTCTGGAACAAGCTGCCTTATACCAAGCCAGACCATTGGTCAGTACTGTTCCACACTGACTGGGCAGTAGCTCTCCAGTGTGTCCTCCCCAGTCCTACCTGGTGATGCCATCGGAGATTCATCCTGGGACCTTCTTATACTGGTACATGCCATCCCAATCTCTGAGTGGCGAGAGAACTCAGGGGTTCCAGGCACTTACCCAGATTCAGTTTCCTTGGAACGAGGAGACTGTTATGTACTGAAGTTCCCACCCTGGGCCAGCAGGGGGATACTGTAGATAGTTTTCACTCAGGTTCACATATGCAAATAAGGGATTGAAAGTGACTTTCAGTGATTGGATAGTTACAGAAAGTGGTTACTGTTGCATTGTAGTGGAGCTCTATATAAGCAGGCTGGCTGAACCTTCAGTTCAGTTCTGTTCTGGCCTGTGAATAAACAAGAGCTGTTTGAAGAATCGCTGTGTCGTCTGATATGTTCACCCATAACTTAACAGAGACTGTGGTGTCATTAGGATATATGGTTTTACTTACTCATATATACAACTTGAGAATAAGCTGGAAGGGCTCATAGCACTAACCCCCCCCCCAGCAGAAGTTGCTTCTCCATTAGTTTTGGCGTAGGAGCGCAGAGCATGCAGGTCTCTACGGCTCCAGCTTCCAAGCCGTCTTCCAGCTCATACACATCTACTCTGGCTCTTGTTCTTCTACCTAGAAGCTAGGTGAGAGGGGTAGAGGAAAGCCCACCCTTTTGCCTGAAGGGCATCATCACTCAGTTACAGCTCTCACAGCCTAGCTAATTCTTTTGGGATGTTGATGAGGACACTTATGTGGCCAGATCAGGTCACTGTCTTACAAAGAAACCGACTAGTTCAAACAATAGAATCTTCAGTTAAATTCTAACTGAAGTACAGGACCCCAAGTATAGAGTACTGGGTACAGGACCCCAAGAATTGGAAGGGGGCTTGGGGCATCATCCAGACTGAGCCCTCAAACCCCACAACAGTATAAAATGAGATTTTCATCTGCTGAGCTACCTGGGCTTCCCCCCCACCTCTTTGCCTCTCATTCCAAGAGCAGTGCAATTTGAAATCTGTCCTGATACTCACAGAGTCTCGACCAGTATTCTGTAGGCAGCCCAGCTAGAATCCCTTGTTAAAAAACAAATACAAATCCCAGCAACTTCAATTACATATCAATTTGATTTTCCAGTGGGCCCGTCCGTAGGAAATGTTCTCAATCAAGGAACAAATTCAGATTGTAATAAAATATTATACAAATATTTACCTCAGCTCTGCCTTGACTTTAAAAAGAGGTTTGATTATTATTATCCGTGGCTCTGGCTGCCAAAGTAGTTAGCTGGCAACGCTTGTGAAAACGAGAGAAAGAGAGAGAATCACATTTTCCTCTTGCCTCTATTCCTCACTGAACAATTTGGTTGTTTATTTTTCCCAGGCCGAGCCCAGATTCCGTCATTTCCTCCTGTCTAAAAAATCCCATATGTGCCCTGATTGTTCAGACATAAAGGTGAAGGAGGCAGAGAGAGAGAGAGAGAGAGAGAGATCAAAATTAAATAAGATCGAGAAAGTAGGTTGGAAGCGGGGGGTGGGGGGGAGGGAAAGAAGATTGGTTCGAAGCCACAAGGCCTCGCAAAGAATTTATTAGATGTGTTGGGTGGTAGGGCTTTGCGCCAGCTAAATTTCATATGGCTTTGCATCCAACGAAACCGTCTAGTTATACAGAATGAATATTTAATCGTGCGTGGATCAAGATGCTTTCTCCAAGGTAATTAAAGGCAGGCTTAGCTTATGCCTTGGAATTCCAGCCATCCTCGTGACCTGCTGGATAAAGTTACCTCCCAGACTTCTTGCAAGCATTACCTGGTCGCACCATGTTATCGGTGAGGAATGGAAGCAGATGCACAAACCCTCGACCTCATATTTTATTTTAAACTGCAAGGAGGACTGCCAGACTCTTAAAGGTAAAGGTACCCCTGCCCGTACGGGCCAGTCTTGCCAGACTCTAGGGTTGTGCGCACATCTCACTCTATAGGCCGGGAGCCAGCGCTGTCCGCAGACACTTCCGGGTCACGTGGCCAGAGTGACAAGCTGCATCTGGCGAGCCAGCGCAGCACACGGAACGCTGTTTACCTTCCCGCTGGTAAGCGGCCCTATTTATCTACTTGCACCCGGAGGTGCTTTCAAACTGCTAGGTTGGCAGGCGCTGGGACCGAATGACGGGAGCGCACCCCGCTGCGGGGATTCGAACCGCCGACCATGCGATCGGCAAGTCCTAGGCGCTGAGGTTTTACCCACAGCGCCACCCGCATCCTAGACTCTTACCATGCCTCAAACAGCATCGCCCTTTTAAGCCAGTGCGGTGTTATGGTTAGAGCACTGGACTAGATTGGTGGTTTGCCAAACTTTTTTGAGCCCTGCCTTCTGCCTGGATTCCATAAGCTCATCTCCAGTGCTACTTACCCTATAAAAAGAAGAGAGGCTTTCATGAGGACATTTTGATGGTCATGTAAGATAGCAAAAGCTTTCTGGGAAATGATTTATAATGAGTTGGGGAAAAAATATTGAAGATAACTTTTGTTTTAAAAAACCCCCAGAAACTTTTCTTTTAGGTATAATTGGTGGAGAGATACCCAAAGAAAAGAAAAGAATAATTTGTGTACACTACTACAGCTGCTCGTATGATTTATGCCGAGAGATGGAAAGAAGAAACAGTTCCAACAAAGGAGGAGTGGCAATTAAAACTGATGGAGTATGCAGAAATGCGAAACTTACTGGAAGAATAAGAAACCAAGGACTCAGATACATTAGTAAGAAAAAAGCAGTGTTTTAAATGTGTTATATGCAATTTTACATAGCATTTTTTTTCTTTTGTTATAACGATTTTATTTCTGGCTTATTTATAGCGTTTTTTCCCCTGTTTGTAGATCCACTCCAAGAAGAGATACTTTTAAAAACAGAATGGGGAAAATTTATTGACTATTTGAAGATGTACTGTAAACAACTTAAAACATTAGCGGGGTTGACATAAACATGCGCAGAAAGAAATAATTAGAAGGGACTACAAAGGGGAAATTAGTAAATAGGCTTGAATTGGATATGCAGTAACAAAAAGATATAAACTAAGTAACCCCAGAAAGGAGGGGAGGGAAGTCGAGGGAAATGCAGATTGGTTATGTCAAGACTTTGCTTTTCCGTTAAAATATTTGCAAAATGAGGGGGGGGGGATAAAAAAAAATCATGAGGACGTTTTGAAAAAAGCAAACTAATGGGCAAATGTGGCAACCGGAATGTACTATTGGAAAATGGTGTTGTAGGAAATGCTCTGCGGGTGGGAGGGACCAAAAATGGGGAGTCAGTTGTGGGGAGTGAGAAATGTCCCTATTTTTGTCTGTGAAATGTTGGAGGGTATGTCCACCTCCTTTTTGCCTCTGGCCTCGCCTACCACTGGAATGCAGTCCTTGGGCTGGAAAAAGGTTCCCTGCCCCTACTCTCTACCACCAGTGGTTCCCAAAAGGGGTGGTGGGATTGCCTAGTGGGCGGGCATCAGCTATAATTAAACTTTTCATTGAGTCAGCCTTGCTACTGCATAAGCCAGCCTTCCTTGACCTGGTGATCTCCAGATGTTTTGGTCTACATCTCCTTTCTGTGTTCCAACACTGACTGGCAGCAGCTCTAGCTCTCCCGGGTTCCAGGCAAGGGGCATTCCTAGCCCCCACTTGGAAATGCCAGGGATGGAGTCAGGGACCTTCCGCATGCAAAGTGCAACTTTAATGAAGTTGCCCTGGCTCTCCTCCCGCTCATTATTCAAAAAACGAGGCTGAGAAAAACATTGCTGTTGTCAGCACCGAGGTCAAACAGATTACAGGGTGCTCAGCGGAAAGCTATGATCTGAAGGCAAAGTCTGTACAGTACCACGGACCCTGTTATCTCCTGGAAGGGTTCGTGTTAACTCCGGTCACATAGTATAATTAAGATATGAATTCTGATTTCTGAGCCATGCAGCCTTTTCAAGGTCAAAAAACAAGTCCAGACGCAAGCATTATCTCAGCGCTATACAGCTGATTGCTTCATCTACATATGAAATGAAACATAATTAATATTTGACATGCACAGTCAGTTGCTAAACATCCCCCCCATGCACTCCCCAACTCCTCTCTATTAATCTGTTAGTTGCATCAAGCATGTTTCACCTGATAATAAACTGCCAAAGTTTCAAATCTCCAGTGAGATAAAACTCTCATCAGCAAGACCAGAAGGCAAAAAAGTTTAACTGGGTGTCGGTGCCCCACCTTGCAGCAAGTTTGGGGAAACAATAATTTTCACTTAAATTGAGTGCCGAACGAGCAGTGCTAGGATATGCCAAGGAAGAATGCTTGCCAAGTGGACTAGGGATGCAATGTGAGCTCACAGGTGCCCCAAACTGAGAAGAAAGGCTCAATATTGTTTTTAAAATGGCCAATCTTGGTGCTGGTTGGCCTGGCCTCGGAAACCCTAGCTCTGCAAAGGACTCAGGACCCGTGAAACCTCAGGCTCCAGGCCTCTGCCCTTTAGTTGGTCCCTACAATCACAGAGGGATGTGGGTAGCGCTGTGGTCTAAACCACTGAGCCTCTTGGGCTTGCCATTCAGAAGGTTGGCAGTTCAAATCCCCATGACGGGGTGAGCTCCCGTTGCTCAGTCCCAGCTCCTGCCAACCTAGCAGTTCGAAAGCACATCAAAAAGTGCAAGTAGATAAATAGGTACCGCTCCGGCAGGAAGGTAAACGGCGTTTCCGTGCGCTGCTCTGGTTTCAGCATTCTGTTGCGCCAGAAGCGGCTTAGTCATGCTGACCACATGACCCAGAAAAACTGTCTGCGGACAAATGCCGGCTCCCTCGGCCTGTAAAGCGAGATGAGCGCCACAACCCCAGAGTTGTCTGCTACTGGACTTAACTGTCAGGGGACCTTTACCTTTACCTTTTTTTTACAATCACAGAATGATACAATTGTAGACATGGTAGGGACCCACAGGGTCATCCAGTCCAACCCTCTGCAGTGCAGGAATCACAGCTAAACAAGTCCAACATGCAGGACTGTAACTAACGGAAAAGTCACCATAAGGAGATCTTCATTACAGATTTTGGCTGGCAAGTATGCCTGAGAGAAAGCAAGGAAGAGAAGTATGTCCAAGCTCCAGAACACATTTGGTTTTCTTAAAACATTTTCCTGGCTGTGTAACACTCACACCATGTTGGAGCTGAAAATACAAAACTTCCTTGTGTCAGATATTGTGCAGGAATGTACGGTATAAAAATTAGTTAATTGATGGATGATAAAAGAAATGACATTTCCACATCAGGAGGTGATCATGCAAATAAAGCTGGAGAAGATCTCAGTGAGATGAGAAGGAGGGACAAGGAAGGAAAAGGGGAAACTGAGTCATTATTACTGTTGTCTATTACAATCAATTCTCGCCTGCCTTCCAAGATATGAAACCTTCCAATGTGGCTTGCAATTAACCTAAAGTACTATAAAAACAAACAAACCCACAACAAACTGAAACAGTGTGCGCTAGGTCCTGAGAGACCAGGGTTCAAATCCCCACTCAGTCATGAAGCTCACTGGCTGACCTTGGGCCAGTCACTGCCGCTCAGCCTCACCTACCTCACAGGGCTGTTGTGAGGATTAAATGAGGAGAGGTGAACCACGTATACCAGCTTGGGCTCCTTGGAGGAAAAGGTGGAATAGACACACAATGAAATAAATAAACAATAAATATCAGCACATTGCCAGGATCCTTGCAAAGACATGCCAACTTTTGTGCTTGGCCAAATCACAGACGCTCCCTTGGTGAACTGGAGGCATCAATGCCCTCATTTACTCCTCACCTCCAAGGAAGCAGGGCCAAAAGAAACCACTGTGAGAACTATTCGCAAATGCACATTTGAAAAACCACACTGACATCTTCTGGTGCAGAAGTGTATGAACTGCATGAAGGGAGCTAAAGAGGCGAGATGTGTAAAGCCCTAGATGGCCTTGGCCCAGTTTACCTGAAGGAACATCTCCATCCCCATCATTCAGCCTGGACACTGAGGTCCAGCGCCAAGGGCCTTCTGGCAGTTCCTGGTGTTTTTAATATTCTGTTGGGAGCCATCCAGAGTGGTTGGGGAAGCCCAGCCAGATGGGTGGTGTATAAATTATAGATTATTATTAATTATTATTGTGTATCATCATCATCACAGAGGGGACACCAGGTGTGGATGGATCTGTTAATTCTGTTCCCTGTTTTCCAATTTTAATTTCAGGTTGGCACATTCAGTTCGCTTTCCTCCTCCCCAGAATGTCCTCATGGAAGCCTCTCTTCTCCTCACCTGCTGGCACAGACAACATTCAAGGTCCTCCAGGGCAAAGGGGAAGAGTGTGGAATTGGGGTGAGATCCAGCTGCTGGCTATGGGGTTGCTGGGTGGGTGGAGAGGCAAGCAAGGGGGGTCTCTTCAACAGGGTCTGGGGTAGCTCTGCAGAA